TGCCTCATGAAAATTCAAAAGCAATCAAGTATGTTCCTGCTGAAATTGTTCCATGCTCCAAGTATTCTTGGGACACTTGCTGCAAGAACTTCAGAACACAAATCATATTTTCATACTGAAACCACATTCTTAAAGTTTTCAAAACTCCCCTGGGAGCTGTAGAGGGAAGACCAAATTCCTTTAAAGGCTTATTTTCTGTAAATGGAGAAGAAATGGAGTGAAACATCACCAAAAATGAGATGCACAGTGTAGTTTTTAGTTGCAGCGCATGTTATCATACAGTCATATTATCCCTGAGAACCCTGGAAGTGCTGCTTATATGTTTAAATCTGTGAAAAAAATATGAGAGAAATTGCAAGAGAGAAGTTTTACTCAGTCTTAAAGTTGGGAAAAAAATGTTTATATTTGGGTCATGCTTCCCAGCCAATTGATAATTATGTTACTTTCGTTTATCAGAATTCATTACAGCCAATATGGTGAACCTGTTCCAGCTTTTCCTATAGACAGCTTTAAAATGGAAGAGAACAAATTGAACCGATGTAGTTTCTCAGCCAGTCTACTAAAATCAATGCAACTTGAATTTCAACAACCACTCAAAATGGTGTAATGTGATACTAAATTATGTTGCTATTTAGATCTTGCTTACACACTAAGTTGTACCAGGCCTGTTAATGATGTGTGTGGTTTGAAAATTCAATTAGTTCCTGCTGCTGAAAGGTTATTTATAGACAAAACCCAAAGAGTTAAGGGTGCCAGGAACCTGCACACCACTCCAAATGCTTACGGGCATGTTGACATTATGTAGTAGAGTGATGTGAAAGATCTCCCAGTGTCCAAACCAGTTCAACCCTTACGGTCATGCAATTTTCCAATAGGTGAGTGATCTTAGACCCTGAAGCAGCAATGTATGGACATGACTGAACTGATTTGAAGCCAGGTCTCCACATTGTACTGAGCCCTTTGGGTCTAAGGTTGGTTCTTGGAGCTTGCTTGAGTGCATCCTCACCCAAAAAGAAGCTTTAACTGCTTCTAAACTGCAGGGAAGAAAATCTGGTTTGTTACAAAGGTAATACGGTATGCAAGAAAGTGAAGCAAACTGTAGTGAATTTCTCCCTATATTTTATTCTGCAGTGGTTCCTTCTTAGGTATATAATCACGGTAAGCAAGCTGTGTTTGACAGGGAATATTTATGCAGGTAATCCTTTTTACTATTTGTTTAGCAGCAGTAGTACTTAAGATGAGTTGTTAGATACATTATTTAGCATCTTGTCTACAATTCTACTGGTTACGCTTATTTCTATAGATAGAAAGCAAGGGCAAGAGACTTTATGAAATTAAGTGTCTCCATTGTGCATTAAGCCCACATTTTTCCTTTTCGCTGAGTTCACCGAAGATTTGGGTCTTCTGCTGCTCAGACACAGAATTTGAGTAGTTTTTGCCATTGTCAGAACTTTGCTATTTGTAACCTCCCTAAGAGAATCCAGGGTGTGTTCCTCTGTACCAGGGCAAGGTGAGGCCCCGCTGCTGGGGAGGCTGCTGGGGATTAAGCAGATGGATGTCGGGGCAGTTTTACAAGCCTGTCAGTCCTACCCTTTGCTCCTGCCCTTCACCTCCAGGGCTAACCAAAACCACCAACCTGTGGGGACGTACCAAGGCTGTGAGGCAAAGAATACGCAGTGCTTTTTAGAGGTCACCGGCTGCTTAGCAGGGTCCTCCTTTCCTGTGTTTATGTTATAGCTTCTGTCACCACAGTGGTGTTTCCCATGCTACGCCTTGCTCTCTGCGAGGGAGCCAAATTCACTGCAGGATACTTCTGTTACCTGCAGCGGGGTGTGGGGAGGACATTGGCCCCTCACATTAATCCTACTTACAATTTGGAATGAATGAATTGTAAGCCGATTTATTTCTTTTTTAGTAAGAAGTGTGATTTAAAGTAAAAACAGTGAATCAAAGCAGCACGTATCTCAACCAAGTAAGAAGTTATGGGCAAAGTTATGTCTCAGTTTTGGAAAGGATCGAGGGGGTTATTTGTTTTCTGCTTATGGTAGAACAGAAGTCTTGCACTCTCAGTTCAGGTTCTGGATAGGACCTTTGTGGTTCAGACTTTGAGCTTTATTGGTAGTAATGCTTTCTTAGGCAGCAGGGGGAAATGGTGATTCACCTTTGTGGAGCAAGTCTATCAACAAACCAGTGGAATTAGAGCAGCCCAGAGCACCGGGTTAGAAATGACCCGTGACTCTGAAACCCCTTCCCCAGAAAGATGCCACAGCTTCCAAATGTGCTTGTGTTATGGTAAGCATGTAATGTAGTCCCTGTGCTGGTGCTTTCTGTCCTGTGATACTATGAATCAAAACAATTTAATTTATTCAGTGAGTGGAGTCAGGCTACATGATCTCTTACAATTAATTAGTGCTAATTGTTCTAATCAGGTTAGAGAAGAGGATGAAATTAATATTTTCTGAGAGACATTTTTTTCCTGCCCTCTTTTTCTTTGAAAGCAGTATAGTGTATAGTATGTGCCCAGAAACACACTACAGCAGGCTCTGGAAGCATTACACAAATTTGTAAGATCACCAGGGAAGAAATTTAGTATTCTTTAGTATTTCAGAGAAAAATGCTACTCCTCTGCCATAAACCCTTATTATATAAGGATTGCCTTTAGCAAACTGGCCATTGCAGTACCATGTGACAGTGCTTCTGTAATGGGTGGGTGCCCTTTTCTTTTAAGTTCAGTTAGCAGAGTGGTTTTCTGAACCCACACTTTTCTCAAATCCTCTTCTGGTGCATTCATATGTGGCCAAACTGTGAGTACAACAGCCAGACCACAAACCCATGCATTTCAGATTCAGTTGTAACGTTTCAAGTGCATGAATTTTGGTAACTGTCGAACCTGAGGTTTGATTCCATCCCTCTACAGCGCTTAACTGTGCTGTCTGGCAGCACCTGGCTGGGCCTCATTGCCCACTGCCCACGTAGCAAACCCAGAGGTGTTCCCTTAGTGACACAGAAGCAGGAGAGTGTATTCTTCTCTCTTTTTATAATACTAAGTGATGTGTGCACCTCCCCCATAGACAATGGCATATAGCTGACACAGGATAATAGCAGTCTTCTGTCTAGAAGTGACTCAAAGTTTGTAGAGCTTGCAGAGCCCACAAATTCACACAGTGGTAATGTTCAAAAAGGGCAAGCTCTGAAGTCTAAATAGAGAATGTTTCTCTTTCTCCTGAATACACTATTTCATTAGTCATGAAAAGTGAGCTTTTATCGATGTCACTGAAATCTCAGCTTTATGTCCAACCTTTATAACCTTTTGTGTTGCCACAATACGCGATAACTACACTCCTGTGCCACACAGCTTCACTATGTGCTCTAGTGTCCTGCTCATAAAGACAGTCTGCAAGCACATTATGCACGACCGAGACAATTGATTAGCGCTACTGAGCAAACCCCTCCTTCATTCGCTAAAGAAAAATATTGTTTAAACCTGCCTGTGAATTCAAAATTCAAACATGAAACTATACATCCATCTTTCAGCCCTGCTTGGCTGCATGTAAATGGATGTGGTTTAAGTTCATTGTGTGTTCTCAATTTTTTTTCTTTTTTTTTTTTTTTGCCCTGTTGAACACCGGAGCAGCAGCCCATCCTGCAGCCCACGCTTCCCAGGCAGTCTGACACACAAAAGGACATCACAAGCCTGATGAATCACATCACTTTAAAAAGGAAGTTACAAAGTAAAATAAATGTCAGAGAGGTAAGGCTATTGATTGAAATTTAGCACAAATGATAGACTATTAATTAATAACTACAGCTGCCTGTGAAGAGGCCTTTCCATGTAGATTTATTCTTTTCATTCTCAAGAAAAATACAAACACCATTCTAGAACACTGAAGTAGCTTTCAAATACAACATACTTTTTTTTTTTTTTTAAAAAAAAAAGAAAGCTCTGTCATTTAAGACATACAAAGAAAAATGTCCTCGGGGGAACCACCTCCAACGCATTGCAGAAGCTTTGTACAAACAGTTTTTTGATTACTCATTCTGGCCACACATTGGGCAAAATGACTTAGATACTCTGCTATACATAAACGGATTGGTGGGGAGGATCACCAGATAGTGTTGCACCAGTCCACGTCATTTCTGGATGACCTCCAAAGGCAGGAAGCAAAAACAACAAATGCGAAGCAGCGTGTTCCTAAGAGCATGGTGAGGGATTGGCTCGGGCAGCTGCCCATCCGGAAACTTTCCCTGCCAGGACATGAGTAAAGTTTTGTGCTGCAGCGTTCTTGAGAGCTTGGAGAAAATTGCGTTCTCCCGCTGTTCCCTCGCTTCACCGAGGCCGTGATTTTTATAGGCTGGATACAGTAAGATTGAGAGAACAAGCTGTTGAAGTCACACATGTTTCATCATCTAATCAGATAGTCTTATGTACAATGTAAGCATTTTTAAAATGCTGCAGACTGACAGTTCTCCTGGTTTCTTTGGTGTTTCTGAGGTTTGCTGAGTGTTTACTATCCAAATGCAAAAAGCAGCAGCCCAGTAATATGGTGGGAGGAATATCCTTGTGTCTCCTCATTTTGTAAATTTCTTTATATTTAGTATTTTGCCTGCTAAAAGTTTTTTAAACTTTTTTCACTCATGTTTCCGTATTTCATCCAAAATATTTTGTAAAAGTTACATTTGTTAAGGTTATGGTACATAATTGAATGAATAGTGTAATTGGGACTGATTTCAGAATTAATTTCAGGGCATGTGACCACATTATTTCAAAGTAAAACCATGATGTCTTGCAATCTTTGGATTACAAGTATAACCCAGGTCTTGAATCTGAAATGGATTTGGACCTGACAGTTTTTCCTGTCATGTCATAACCAAATTCTTCATAGGGATTACCGTGTATCTTGCTATATTTGTTTTAAGGTTTATTTGCTTCTTTTGAAGCTTAGTTGCAGGTCACTGTTTTATGACTTGTTGAATTTTGTTTTGTTTTTAATCAGATGGTGGTGGGAAGTAGTCCAGGAATCTTTTAAGAAAAGAAGAGCAGCACACTTAAAAGAAAAAAATCACACTCAACAGAATGTGACATCAGCAGGTAACGCATTCAGGTAGTTTTGAAGCAGAGTTAGAACCCTTCTGAGCAGTAACTTTTGGGAATTTCTTGTGTATATTCGTATGAGATGACTGAGCCTTCAAAGTTAAGAAGCAGCAGTTTAGTTTGCACCCAGGGAAAATATCTTCAAACTCATGCATTGCACAATTCATCAGGCATATCAGGAGTGGAGAGACTGGTCCACATGTGGGAATATTACAAGGTTTTATTTGTACAGCTTCCTAACAACAGGAATTGGGCTGGCCTAAATGCAGTCAACAGATTTGAAAGCTAAAGCATTACTGGAAGTTTTACGCATGCCAAAGGAAACCTATAAACATTTTCTTTGTAACTGTTGAAACTATCAGAATGTAAATACTATGCTTTTAAAACAAAGGCAGCTTTAAATATACATCTGGACTTTTAATCTGTGTCCTTACACAGATTGGTCTATTCAGCACAGATTGAAACAGAGGAGGGACCCTGGGCCTTTCATTTGGTTGATATAACAATTTACAATCTTTCAAAAGTCCTCCTTCCACTGAATTCCAGTGTGCATTTTTTACTTTAATCTCTGAAAATAATCAATTTCACATTCATATGCAATCAGTTTCTATTTAACTTTTCCACTGCTCCTAAAAATGTACAAGATGTTTATTTTAAAACAGATTTATTAAAATTAAAGGGAGAGAAAAACATGGGATCATTTAACTTGCCCTGGATTTTCTAAAATATTTCCGAAATTACAGAGGAAGCAATAACTATGCACAAGGAAATGCCTAACTCTTTGCATACCTCCTTGCTACAATTTTAACTATCGAAAAACAAGAGCAAGCATCAGAGTTCTGTTATTTCTCCATTTTACACTGTATCATACTTTCAGATGCTGCAGGACAAGCAATTTTAGAGTGCGTCATCACACACAAAATTAAGTGCTATGTTATTAACGTACTTTTGCTAACCTGGTCAATATAACAACAAAACCAGCAGTTTGGGCCTTCTGCACGCTCTGTTTTGTTTCAAATTACTTCGTCTGAGAGAAGGGTATATGTCCCTTTAATAGAGAGAAGATGTCTCTAGAAAGAGATGGTGCCAGAGAGAAATAGCTATGGCTCATGCAGCTACTCTATAATACTGATTCTTATCAGGAATGAGATTATTTTAGTCATTAATGAAATTTCAATCCAGTCATCTTAAAATTTATGCAACGCATTTGTCTCATGATCCTTTGGAGCCCAAAAATACTTCTTTTCTAGAAAAGCTACTAAATATGTCCATCTCTTTTTCCTGCGAGGCAGCCCTTTCTGAGAATCAGGAACAGTTTTATGAATACATATGAGCTCTGCTGCCTTGAACTAAGGCCTGTTCCCTTTGCTGAGCTGACGTGAATTGCCTGAGTGCAGACAGGTTGCAGGGGAGGGAACAGCAATAGTAGCAACCACCTCAGCTTCTCACAGGTAAATGTTGTGGCAGAAAGAAGTTACCTTCTACATCAGTGCCAGCAAAGCCTTACATCCACTCAATCCAGGCTGCCTTTACTTAACAGCTGTGTGTCCCTCAGGGTGAGAAGAGATTTCTCTTATTTTGTGAATAAAGAAAACTGGATTCACCACAGCCTGACTACCTCATGATGTGCAATGGACGTCACTTGATTATGATAACTCTATCCTCCTCCATTTCATGTTCCCCTTAGGCTAATCTTGGAGTGGAGTGTTGCTGAACGGCGTGCTGAGGAGCCAGGCTTCTCCCACATGGTTTCTCCACTTACCCATAGCTCATACTCTGATGCGCTCTATGCGAGTCTTTATAATTTCATGACATTAAGCAACAATGTTAGGAGAGAGAAATCTGGTTTTGTCTTTGAGTGCCTTAGCTTTCATCTGTAGTTTCTCTTGGTTTGTAGGCAAAAGTCTATTCCTAGCTTCAATAGCTATTTACTCCTTCAAACAGGTTTTTCCAGGCAAGTTTGAGCTGCCTACACCAACCAGCACACACCTTCCCAACCACTTCTGAGTCATTCTTCATTAATTATCTGAAAACTTTAGTCTCGAACAGATTCCAGTACTAAATGATAAGACTGACTGTACACTTAGCCACCTTGAACAGGAAAGAAAAACTGTAAATACCTGAGATTTTAAGGCATACATAGAGGAAGTGAAAAAAGCAATCAACAAAAATATATTAAAGCACTCATGTGAGGAAACATTGGGGTCTGAGATGGAAACTTTTGTGGGGCAAGCATCGCAGAGAAGGGACTCCCTCTGCTACATGTGTACTCCTTCCTGCAGCTCACAGCGCTGCTGCACCTCTCCTGCACACTTCTTCCATGAGCACCTCCCATCGTGTTGTAGTATTTCTGTATGTTCCTGTTCAGAGGAGCAGGCTGTGCCCTTTTCAACAGCCGTAGGAGAGCTCCTGTCAGAATTTCTCAGATAAGAAGTTTGAAAACTCTTTCAGGGACTTGTAGGCAGTTTCTGGTTTTATTGCCACTTAGGTTTTCTTGGCTTTCATTCTACATTTTATGCTAGTTATAAAATTAAGTAGATTCATCCCTTGAATTAGAAGTTGTACAAATTAAAAACATATTCAGTATTTCGTTCTAGCCACCATATAAACATACTCAATGGTTCCTAAGACAGGAAAATGTGGGGGTTTTTTTCTTAAATATATAAGTAAATTTATGAAAAATAATGTGTGAAGGATGGAGACTCTGAGGGGATAACTTATTTAAGAGATGGAGTAACTTACTGAAACAAAGTTCTGTAGGCTCTTCAGGTATAGACTAAAAATGTACTAGGCAAAAAGGAAAGTAAGAGTTAATTTCCATTATATATTGATGTAATAAAAAGCCTTTTCAAACATCAGTGTCAAACAAAAAACAGAAGTGGAGCTGTTTCTAAAAGCACACATTCTCAGTGAACTGAGTGGAAATACTCAGAATCATGGCTACTCATTTATTGGTGTGGGTAGTTATTTTTTCATGTTTCTACTAAACCTGTACCTGTTTTTCTAGCATCTTTCTGATCCCTGCGCTCCTGGGTAGTGGGATAGCAAGGCTTGCAGGAAGGGTGGTGCTGGGCACTCTGCCTCTAGGCAGAGAAACAGTTCTGAGTACAGTACAGGTGTTGGAGCTGGCAGAGATAGTCTGCTATTTAGGTATGGTATAAATACTGGACTATGTAAACATGTCACTCGCTCTCTGGTCTGACTGATTCCCAGAGCTAATGTACGTAAACATCCTGCCCTGTTGGTTATTTCCAGGAGACTGAAGCCAAAGTAACTATTTATGTTAATATTAACTTTATGGAAAAAAGATGCAAACATATTAATGAGGGGCTTGCACCATGATTAAAGGTTTTCCTTCTTTTTCTGAAGATTTGTGTACTTTTACACCTGTTGTAAAATATATTTATCATAATGTCTCTTGGCATAAACTGAATGTTTCTTGAGGCATGCTGAAGACAGCCTACCACCCTCCTCTACATTGAGTTGTGTACACTATATTTTCTGTTCGCTAGCCTAAAAATCAGGTTCTAGAGCAGCTCTGGGCCTGACCAGAGTCATACACTTTGATTAGACTCTTGCAGAATATTTGCATCCCCAAAGACCATATATCTGTGAACCCAGAGATGATGAAAGACAGTGGAGCTGTAGTAGCTTTTTTGGTTTGTGATCTAACCCTTGCCAAATACCTAGCTATGGCTTCTGCCTCCAGCACCTCATATTTCCAGCATTCTGCTATCCAAATTCTGGATGAACTTTGCATTGTCATGACCAAGATTAATCCCAGAATCAAGTCAGATAAATTAATCATAGACTTGTGCAGTTGGCTGGAAATGGAAGTGGGACATTTTCAACCTTAGGGACAGAGAGAAGTCTTAGTTATGCACTAAGTCTGCGCTGCCTGCAGGTCACACTCGTCTGTCCTGTAGCAATTCCTCTTTGTAAGCCAGTGCCTACACAGAGATCAGAGCTTTAAGGAAGAACAGTGGTCTTGATCTTGAGTTCCTGGGGCTACTGAAGCCATCTATCTGTGGTAAGCTGTTGCAGTGATGAATTTCTTTGCTCTGAAAAGCAAGAGCTTATGTTTTTCATCTAGATTTGTCTGACTTTTGCTGCTCAAGCAAAAAGTCTTCTATTACGATTATTTTTTCTTCTGTATAGATATTTGTGGGTTTAACAAGTTCTCTGCCCCAACCCCAACTGTTCTTTGGATAAGCTAAATAATCAATGTTGTCTAGTGCTACTAACATCACCCTTTTCAGCCTGCTAAAGAGAAAGTTGAGGAACTTATTCTATCAATTACTTGCTTTCCAGTCCTTTAATTATTCTTGCAGCTGTGATTACTTCTGGGCTTTGGAGTTGCAGTAGGAAGTCCTTTATACCACAGCCTTGCTCCCACATACTCAGTTTGCCACTGTATCGATGGCAAATTGTCTTAGCCTTCTAGAAGAAAATCAAGCGAAAGTAGGCAGCAGTAATTTTACATAGAAGCTCTACAGTCCACTGGATGGGGACACACATAAAACAGGTTTTTAAGGACAGCGTTTCCCTTCTGTTTTCAACAGTTTCCTGTTAAAAATTGTACAAAAGCAATTTAATCCTTTTTTACTGTTCCTCTGTGGAAATCACTTCCAAGACTCCTCACAGATTTGGGGATTTTCAGCCTCACTAACCAGCTTCCCTAAAAGAAGTGGCAGGAAAAGCCAAATAGCAGACAATGAAAGTCAGACAATTTCCTGAATACATCAACGAAGTAACAGTGAGAGCAGACAGCAGCTGGACCGAGAATGCAGAAAAGCACATGGGAATCACTGACTGCTCTTTGGGTACTCCCCTTGTGCTGACTGGGTTACTTGATCTGGATTTAGAGCCTATTCAGTACTGGGATTCAGACCAAACTCCAAGTAGAATAAAGGGTAAGAACGCATCTGATCTGCCTCGAGACAAGACATCTGTGAGTTGCTAAACCATCCTGTTGTCCCAAAGCCTTAAAGTACATCAATCCCTCTAACT